AAAAACTAGACATGATTACGAAAGAAAAAATATATGTTGTTGTATGAAATTGCTGATGATGTGCACTGGTTAATGTTGACAGATGTCAAACATAAAAAAAGTGTGTTGTGTGCCCAGGGTAGCTTTGTACGTTCACTAATGCCACCTATGAGCAAACAGCGGATTTAAGCTTATACGCCTATAATCTTACAATTTCATAATTTTGTTCGAATTGGAAATTTTAAAATTTTACGCAAAAAATATTATAATACAGGACGATTTGCTTCGACTTTATATGCCATTTCATCATCTTAATTATTTAAATAATTTATATACTTAATATATTTATATACTAATCTATATAATTTTCTAAATGTATTGTCTGGGATTTCAAATGGATCTTGAGTATCCCATAATCATCTTCTTATTCTATCTAAATTCAAATGTGAATTTTATTATTTTTTATTATTTTGTTGTTATTTTTTTCTTATACAAAACATAAAAATAATGTTCATTACTAGAAACCAATAATTTATGTCTTTAAATAGAACGGATTTTTACAAATTTTAAATTTTTTACTAATTTCAATCAATCTCGACACGCTTTAACATCATTTGATACAGTTCGACATAGAATTTCTTGTCGAGCAATGTCACGTGAGAAATTTCGCATTTCCACTATGATGAAAACTACCCAATCAAGTGAGAGTTCACTTTTATCATTTACATCAAGTTTTGAGATACACAATCGATCTTCTGATACTTGAAAAAAAATAGTGAATAAAATCATATTAATTAATGTTAAATTAAGATAAAAAAATATCAATGTAAAGAAAATATGAAATGAAAAATTCATTTATTTAATTTTATAATGCACTTCGATGTATGCATAAACATAGGGAAGAGTGTTCTAAATCGGACCTTTTTAATTTAAATGAATATGGTTAAGCAGATTTGCATGCTATTTATAATGTAAAGTCCTTATAAGACATATGACAGCAGTTTGACAGTTCTTTGTCATAACGTTCATAGAATAGACGCAAATATGTATTTTCAGCTAGCGTGCGAAAATTTTTTTAAAAAAAGAAAATCCTTGTAAATCATTATTTAAAAGATGTTAAAAATTTGAAAGATAATTGATTTAAGATAATTAAAGAGATTTGTAGAATTTAAAAATATCAAGTGTTTTGTGATTTCTTGCGGTTTATTATAAAATTTATTGCAAAAGTTCGAAAGAACTCGTGTCCAAATCGGATCTACAGTACAGTCAGTAGATAGGTATTTGACCATTGAATCCTGATGTTTTCCAAGAAATTTACTTCCTGCCCAATTCACTAACTGATCGGCCAATCGAACATAAAAATAAAATGAGATAAAAATAAATTTGGATGAAATACTGCAATCTATTTGTCCACTTCCAAAAGCTTTCATGTAATTTAAAAAAAAAACAAAAAAAAAACAAGAACAAAAACAAGAACAAGAAACATTAAAAAGCCAAGTAAACCAACTAATTCAAAGAAAGAAAACTTGTTACAATCTGGTAATAGTACTGATAATCAACCAACCAGATCTAATCTAAAAAACACTAAATCAATAAAATATCATAAGTCATCAGATTAATTGAATTTTTTATTGATTTCAATTTTAATAATATGTTACGTTCAGTGGACTGCATGATTTCTTCATTTCGCGAACGTTCGATAAATAAAGTAAGGTACGAAATACGACTAATAACGCGAAAACTCTAGAAAATCCAAGAAAACTTTCCAGCTGAAAAATTATGTTTATTTAAAATCGAAAAATAATAAAATTAATATAGCTTTAACGTATTAGAAATCGAACGTTAAATCTCATTTCAAGCGTCATGGAAAAAAGGAAATCGTCAAATAATCACTATCAAACAACGCATATCAAGCTGTTAAGTCAAGCCGCGAAACGATTTTCCGCGATAATAAGGATGACAGCGCGGATACGACACTCGAAAGAAGATGAAATGTTTAATCATCTCACCGATATTACGATACGCGAGTTCAATAATAATGGCCCCACACGTAGACTTAAGACAGTATCATAAATTTAATAATGACATCTTCTGATATTGGAAAAAAATCAATATAATTGCAGCTCATGCTTTTTACTTCTCAAAGGGCAAAATTAACTGAATTCAAGAATATATATATATTTGCTTATCGCTCAACGCGAGAGCAATTTGATAAACTCAGATGGTTTTACCCATTTGTAATGATGATAAGAAAAGAAATCGGTAATTCACAACTCACACATTCTCCTTCTGTATCGAAAACTCACTAATAATAAAAGCAAACCAGAATCTACAGCACGGGCGGAGCTAACTTAAGAGCAACTTTCCAATGATCAGTTAAAATTATTATCATATCAAAGGGAAGAAAAAATCTTACGAAGAAAAATCTTATCTGATTCCTCAATTTCCCAACCAGATACATCCCACTAAGAAACTATCTCCAAAGATAGTCCTATATAAACCGCGATCTTGCAGAGAATTATTAGTTTCATTAGTTTTGTGATGACATTGTTAGAATCAGTAACAGTGACAATTCCGATAGCACCATCTATAATCAAAATTCCTACTTGTACTATATCATCTCTTTGAGGCGAACTGCAGGGCCCGAGAACGATGTAATAATTATCTTAGACGAAGGAAAAGTAAGTTAATCATTTCCGCTCTTGTTTTTTCTTTCCTTCATTATTATATCTTAACCAATTCCCTTTTTAGCCTCTGCATTATTCCTCTTAATCTTTCACTTCCACAGCTCACTTATCGTCCTCATATGATACCCCCATATTCATCGAATTATTCCTGCATCCTTTATTAGAAGTTCGCCTAATCCGCGAATTTTATTTCTTTCATTATCCCGTTTAACGCAGAGTCTGACTTAAAACTTTCTTATTTAAAATCGTAGTGACCGGCCATCTCATTCACGTCTTTCCCGCGCGGCTAAACGCGCACGAGGTCAATGCGAGGCCCGTTGGCTTCTTGATGAAACTTATCAAGCATATCTAACTTTTAAGTTTAAATAATATTAACAATAATAACAATAACATTGATAATGACAATGATATCCCTAATGGTCTAGCTAATAATAATAATAATAATAATAATAATAATAATAATAATAATAATAATAATAACATTAAAAAAAAATAATAATAATCCAGTCCCTCTTCCCGCAGCTCTCCTGCCCTTCTAAATCACTGCCCATATTTGCCCGTTCCTTTTCCTCACCCCCGGTGAAGCCACTTTCACTTTTACTTCTTTGTCGATATCTCCTTCTCCTGACGCAGAATCAATCTCTCTTAATTCAACGAATTTTTCCCGGCTCTCTCCTCCTTCTTGTTCCTCTTTTCCCGCTAACTCAACCTTGAGCATGAAGTTCATAACAATAAACGAAATTCCCTCTCTCCGTTCTCATTATTATCATCACGGCAATCACTAATCTTTAACTTCCCTCTTTTCGTAATTTCAAGTTTCCACCGATCCACTTCCCCCAGACACTTTCGTAAATTTCGAAAACGCAGATTCCAATCGAATTCGAAATGCCAGATAACCACCAGAGGTCCTTATATCCTGTTTTCCTTCTCCATTTCCCCCTCCTCCATCCTTTTTTAGTCCCAATAACCTTCTTTTTCTCTTTTCTTATACATCAATAAAATTCGATAGATATAATTTAGTTTCTCTATTCGTTCTGCACTTTTCTTCTTATGAACACATACTCATACATACATACCCTCATGCACTTAATTTCACGATACCTTTTCTTTGTATTTAATATATTTTATTTTAGATTCACATTAATGTTCGCGACACACTCACACACGCATACGTCGTAACGTTCATAACTCGCACTCCGTTAGTTACTAAGTACTGAATATCTTTTAATTTAAAAATGTAAGATGGTAATGTAAATTTAAAATTAAGTAATTTATTTATTAATATGCTAATTCGATTTTCTATTAATAAATAAAAAAATATATATATACATAACATATATACATACATATGAGTATATA